CCATGTTTTACAAGTCCATGTTTTACAAGTCCATGTTTTACAAGTCCATGTTTTACAAGTCCATGTTTTACAAGTCCATGTTTTACAAGTCCATGTTTTACAAGTCCATGTTTTACAAGTCCATGTTTTACAAGTCCATAGTTTACAAGTCCAGTCCAGTCCAAGGTCCAGTCCATGTTTTACAACATGCCGTATGTTCACACCGCCACCGCGCAAGCTGAAACGTTTGTTTGACCGCGGTGTCAACACATGGATGTCAAAGGAACTAGACTAACTTCCGAAATATCACCCACTCGAACCGACTTCACCTCGTAGGCGGTATAGGCGTAGCTCAGTAGGAAAGTATAGTATAAACGTGCATGCTGCAGAATCTGAGACTAAAGTAAATTACACTGAAAGGGATTGAGCAACACTTCAAATTAGTCCATTTCTACGGGGATATCATGCGTACATGGACGACTGGGAACCAAAACTCGATGAGGAATATTCATTAGTTACATTATATGATGAAACTCTGATTTTGTCCAAAAAAAATTTTTATATATTCATATTAAGTAATGATATATCTCTCAATTCCAGCAACTTTTTTAAGAATATGTTAAAAAGCGACCGAGATATAGGGGAAAATGCTATGACCACTGAATAGCTTTGCGCGAAACTTGTAATTATGATTGAACTTTGCTGGCGACAAATGTCAAGGTGTGAAATTCACTCAAGTATAAGCCGTTTGTTATTGTTCGGAGACATATATTATTGCGAAACAATATAGTATTTACAGAATCTCTCGAAGTTCGAGCTATGTGCGATGTCGACTTCGGTGACTTTTCTACTGTGTTTGCGTTTTGTAGTCTATAGACTAGAATTCTATAAGATAAATGTGATAAACACCTTGCCAAAAATATTAAAGTTTGGTTGTTTGTGATTGGTTAACCGCACGAGGTCACAAGTGGATTAACATTGGGGGCGGAGAAAATGACAGAAAGAGTGTAAACTTGGTCAAATCTTAAATCCTCGTTTGAAGAGAAAGCAAAATTACCCAATCTCCTCGACAAAAAAGGGTTTAACGACAGAGCGTTTTATCCGATTCGTCCCAAACTTGGCCACAATGTTAATCAATAATATAAGAACGAAAATGTGTTCGCGTTTTCGATTTAGTGCATTATTTTTCAATTTAGAAGCATCTCTTCAACCGCTTATACCCGCGCAAGATAAGTCAAGTTGTCTGCTTTATATCAAAGCGAATACAATAGCTGTCAAAAAATGCGAACACATTTTTCTTCTTTGGACATTTGAGATGAGAAATATGATATTTTGGGAGCTCCTGAGTTAAACGGTCTGTCGTTAAATCTCGTGGCGCAAGAGGTGCTATTTTTCAAAAGATGTCTCATTGCGACTACAGGTTAAAAGGTGGTGAATTTTGGTTAAAACAGTAGCTTCTACAGTTAGTTATCATTACATGTACCAAATTTGAGGAACGTAACTAAAAAATTGAGCACGCAGTGACAATTTTTCTGAAACGGGAATCTATCATATGATGTAACCTTAAATGCTAAAATGCTCACTCCTGAGTCCGATACATGTGCATATTTACACAATAATAATTTAAATAACAGCTATTAAATACGATATTACACTTACCATGTTATCTTTCTTTATCTTTGGCAATGTTTTGCCTCGTAACACAGCCAAAAATCCAGTAAAATTCTGTTATTTTTCTTCGCAAATTTTGAGAAACTTTTAAAACCAAGATGGCGGCGCAGCATTTTTTTCGTGAAGGCCTGGTCGCTAAGTTTTGAGCGCTTTTCGAAAAAAATACGCGACTTTGTAAAAAATCTCCTCTTAACAACTTTGAAAAATATATCGTTGCACATTCGGGCCACCCGATTAGCGCGTTTGACGCCGGCTGACAGCCGGAAATTTTGTCTCCGATTGCTCGGCTGCTAGCCGGGCTGTACTATAGTATACTATTCGTTCAAAAAATGCGCGCATTTCGGAGACTGGTTCTAGAATGTTTCATAAGCAGAAAACCACCAAAATTACATTAAATTTTCCGAAAATCATCGAAATGCATCTAAATTCATCTTCCCAATGCATATAGTTAGCTATGCGACAGGTAAATAAAGAGAAAAAAAAACAATTTCGGCAAAAAGAAAAATCCAAATCCGCTTGCGCGCACTCCGGACTCGAAATCACCACCCTCAGCATACACGCTGAGTGTTGTTCCCCTGCGCCACCACGTCTTACACGGAAAATATGTTAATTTATTGTATATATACAGGTTATTCTTAGCCAGCGCGATTAAAGATTGCGTAAATACGTACACCATCGTGCACGGCCAAGGGTACAGTAGCAGCCGAGCCGTATCTACACTTTAATACAATACTTACAATACATCACGGCATTGATGACGGCTTCCAGCCAGGGTTATTTAACTGTAATACAATACTACAATGCAATACGAGTGTCAGCCGAGCCTGCCGGTAGTATACTATAGTATACTACAATACATCGCGGGTACCAGCCGGCAATACGGCTATCAGCCGGGCGTACTATAGTATACTACCGACAGGCTCGGCTGACACTCGTATTGCATTGTAGACTGTAGTATTTTATTACAGTTAAATAACCCCGGCTGGTAGCCGTGATGTTTTGTAGTATACTATAGTATACTACAGAAGTAT